TTACTGCAGATAAAATTCTATTTTGCTAGGTACGTGCACACACCTGAAACAATTTCCATTGCAATGCATATTAAAGAAAAAGTAATCCAAAGAGCGTTTAGGCAGGACATGTAAGAGAAAGTGAATAACCAGGAACAAAGTAATCAATAGACATTACTAGGCAGAACTAGCAGTGGTGAATGTGGGCACAAAGTAATGCCAAAAAACGGAGCATTGGGGTTAGCTGGAAAAATATACAAGCCCATCAGCTAAGAGGATGAATCATACAAAGGCACAGAAATCTGGAAAGCATATGGCAATCAGAAAACTCCATGTGAGGGGGAAGATCGTTTATGTACGCACATGCACGCACACACATACACACCATGCAAATATGGATTCTTCAGCCAGAACAGATACAGGTATTGGAACGCTGCCATGTTTAGTGGCCGTGGTTAGAAGGGGAAAGGGTACAGGCTCCAGGGAGAGTGTGTGAAGGATGGAGAAAAGCAGTGCAGTCGTGACTCAGAAATGAAGAGACAATGTCAATACTAGTCTACCGGTTTGATAAGTGGATCTAGAAACGACTCAACTTCAGACTTCCCAACGGTGCTGACATAGGATTGATACAAGTGATTGGGAGGAGGGGGGTGCCATAGGGACCTCTGAATGCAATTATGAATGCATTCCAAACACAAAGGGAGGTGCTGATATTTGGAACCCCACCTTTGAGCAAAAGGACTGTAAGTAGTATGTTGATGTCAGAATCAGATTGAAGGGCAGTGCAGTCTTTTTGTGGGAACCAGTTAGCAAATGCAATGGATCGCTTGTCATCTTGGATCAGAAAGGACATAACATGTTCTCTAGAAGTCAGGAGAAATTTAAGCTGGGATTTTCAAAAGCATCTTTGGGAGGATCTTGCCCCTCTGCTCATGGTCAGATTTATCCCTATGTGGGCTCAGGAAGGAATTTTACCCCATAGTCATATTGATACAGACTACTGGGGGCTTTGCTTTCCTATGTAGCAGAGGGTAATGACCCTCTTCTTTGAATCTGTAAAATGTCTTTTAACAACAGAACACTTATAAAGCAAAGGGATAATTGCAGTCCTGTGGCAGGTTGGGGATGCTATATCTTGTAGTTGTGTGACAAGGTTGATTGTGTGGTGTTAGGAATAGATTAGACAAGGATTTGTATGGGATGGTTTGGATAGGAATGAGCCTGCCTCGGGAAGAGATGGGGAGGGGGAGGGGTGGACTAGGTGACCTCCAACTGTCCCTTTCAACCCTACTTTTCCATGGTAACAACTTGCGTTTACACTAATAACATGGTGGGCTACAACTTGCCTTGGTGCTTTGATAAGCTGGCCCTTAGATCACAAGAGAACTTGCACGCATAGGCAACACAAAGAGGGACACGGGGTGCACATGCTCCCCCTGAGATGGGCCACTGCTGAAGCCACTGCTAGCTTCTGTGGGCAGTCGCCACTCGACCCCCGCCCCCACCTCACTGCTGACGTGGCCGGTGGCATCTGTGGGTGGTCCCTGCTTGTTGCTATGGTGTGCCCCCAGTCTTGGGAGGCACCAGTTGTTCAGGCTTGCACACGTTGGGCAGTGGAGAAAGAAACAGCTTGTGCACTGTGGGTCAGACTTTGTGCCATGTGAGAGCCTTGAAGATTATTAAAGAGACAAATAACAATTGGACACTTGACTCCTAGTAGAAATAAGTAGGAGTTAGGCATCAAACTGCTACTTATGCATTTGAAAGTCTTTTCCCACTGTAATATATTCAGCAATAGTCAATGATGACATGGCCTTTGTTTAACCACCTTTTATAGGGGACTTTATCATTGCCTTAAATATTTTAATACTATTGGCTTTTAACTGAACTAGTCTGAACTGAATCATGGAAGGGCTTGTTTGATAAAGGGAGATGAAAACAGAACCCAGGTCAATTGTGAAGCTTTGGGAAAAGTGGAGTGGGTTGTGATGTGAATTAAATGAGATTAACATTGGTCATTCATTACTGCAATCACTACTCACTTTGCTGGTAACCTGAACTATAAAGGGCCACAACCTATTGCCCCCTTCACATGCCTAAGTGGTACTTGCTTAGGTAACTGCATAGATGCAGCTATGCAGTTTGGGAATCAGTGTAGTTGTTTGCCCCAAGCACTCCAAATGAACCTGCTCAGCAGGTCACATTATGCCTTGATCAGGGGAAGTGGGGAGATAAAATTGCCTAGCCAAATGCATAATGCCTGGCAAGCCCCAAAACTAATCACAAAAAAAAAAGCAGTCTTCGGCCTCCTCTTGAAGCTGGCCCACTAGGCAGCCAAGGTAGGGAGATATGTGAGGCCAGGAGGAAGACAAGCTAAGGAGTATGCAGGTCACTGGGATGGATGCTACCCTGGAAGGGAGGGGGCTGGATTCCAGTCTGGGCTCCTACTTCCAATGTGGCAGTAACTTTCCTAGTGCTGGTTAGCCACTTCCGCCAATGAATAAGAAATATAATGTGCAATGGGCCAGCTTCCCAGGGGGGGTTAGGGAACACACTTGCATAATGCTTAGCTTGTGGTCTAGTGGTTAAAGTAATGTGCTGGGAAATGGGAGACAAAGTTTGAAAGCCCCTCTGGATGAGCACAACCTAGTATCTTTGTCTCCTATTCTCTGGGTAAGTGCCTTAATCTACTAAACTACTGTGTTAAAAGGAGGGTTTACCATCATTTCCCCTGCAGCAAGTGTGTGCACAGAGCACTCCTATTTCCCCAAGTAGAAATAGAATTCCAGGCTCTGCCTAAGTGCAGTAGGCAGTAGGGCCATGGGTTCACCCCACTGAACTGCAAGCAAAGCCTAGGTGTTAAAGGAAACCAGATTCTGTGTTTTCTGCCACAAAAATATCATCTCCCAGTAGCTTATGCCAGAAGTGGGAATGCACGACTCCTTGATTTTTTGTGGTGACTAACTGGAAGCTGACCCAGCTATGTGGGCTCCATTCATCCAGCCTGTCTTTTCATTGCTCTGGAAACCATGCCACTGAGCCCAAACAAAAGGCAGCATCTGAGCATATCTGAATTCTGCTCTCTCCCCTCTTCCAGGACCCACCACTACAACCGCCTCTCTAGTGTCTTTCTCAGCTGGTCTTACACAGAAGCCTTTCCCCAGCGATGTTGGCGTAGTCCATTTTAACAAAGTGCTTGTAAATGATGGAGACTACTATAATCCTAACACAGGTAACAACTGCAAGAGAGGGGAGCCCGAGCTGGCAAGCTAATCAGACAATACCATGAGAAAACAGTACTGCCGTATTATTTCAAATGGTACTAGTGTGCTCATGCTAGGCAAACAAAAGAATACATGGCACCATAAGGCTTATAATACTGCAAGTTAGAAACAGCATGGCTACCAGAGGGCACAGGAGGACGTCCGAATCTGCACGTAGCATAAATGTCCATATGCTCACCAGAAGAGCTCAGATTTTGTAGCAGAGCCTCATGCAGGTCTGCAACATTGAACTAGAAGTAGAAAATATAAACAACAAAACACTAGAGAACCAGGAAGTGTAGAGTGAAGGGGAGCAGCTCCCAAACTGCAACTTAGTCTGGCTGCTCATCGTAGGAGATCACTGCTGCTCCTGTTGCAATCTCTGTAAGATGCACAGATCTGCTTCATCGAGATGACACAGCCCCAACTTTGACACTATCAGCTTGATGCCTACCACAGTAGAACCGTCCTGTTGACTGGAGTTTCAGAGGGCATTTAGCAGAGGGTGAGAGCTAGCGCAAAAACAGTGTGGTGCTGTAAGATAGAGAGCAGTCTTCCTTCCTTTGAAGGAAAAAAAAATTCTCTCGTTGCCATCCTTAGACGCATCCCAGATGTGGCAGCTTCATATAGAACATGGGAGGATTTTCATAGCAAACGGACCTTTATTTCCACTAACTTTAACAGATTTGTTCAGAGGGCTGGATAACACTGTAGGTGTTAATATTAGTTCTTACTGCCCTACACGTGACAGTCTCCATTTTCTGTACGTCATAAAGAGCTAACTCTGCACTCCCTTTGGCAGGCATCTTCACATCCCCCTTTGAAGGGCGCTACTTGATAACCGCCGTGCTAGCTCCTGAGAGAGATGAGTATGTAGAAGCTGTGCTGTCAGTCTCCAACGCAAGCGTTGCTCAGCTCCACACAGCGGGCTACAGAAGAGAACTGCTAGAATATCACAAGCCGAGAGGAGGGAAACAAACTTGTGGCGGGGCTGGAACTTTCCACCTTGTTCTTCACCTAAAAGCTGGAGATGAAGTAAACATTGTCATTACTGGAGGCAAACTGGCCTACACAGACTCCGATGAAATATACTCCACGTTTAGTGGAGTCCTTCTCTATCCTTCCATTTCTCATGTCTAGGTTCCTCTCAAAGAGAAGAGGGCAAGATATTCAGAAGGAATTGATTGTAATAAAATTCGAAGCTTTAATATATTCAGTTTATATATTTAACTGAGTGGTGGTTTGATGAGCCATGTTGAGTTCTTAGTCTTTTCCTTCTACCTTGGAGACTTCTTGGTATCACCACCATGAAAGGTGCTGTTACAGTAGTTAAACTAATTACTACTCCCCCCCCTCCCCTACATGTATGTAAAGAAGAAAGCATCAGACAACACATCTGTACTCAGAGCTTGCAGGTCACGCCAGCATTGCTCTTTGGTTACTCCCTAGTACAGAGTTTATCCACATCAGCTCTCCTTAGTGGCCAGGTGCTAATTCCCAGCACCACTCATTCAAAGTTCGGCATTTTTCTTCCAATTGTTAAAATTTACAAATTGATATCTTCACATTTCCATTATGACAGAGAAGAGGAACTGGGAGTGTATGGGAATGACATGACCTCTGGCCAGGATACTTCATTTCAGGGAACAGTCAGCTCCAGGGAATTACTGACCTTGGGTACTCTGAACAACAACCATACAAAAAAGGGTGGGGGGGTGGTATTTGGTCTGCTTGGAGACCAAACCCGTCTCTCAGACCCAAGCTAAATCCTTGAGTTTGCCTGAAGTGGCCATGAAGTAAAGGGTAGGACTGTGTTACACGATGTGCCCATGCATATGCTTTTTCCCCACACAGTGGATGAAAGCTACCACTTGGTAGTTCAGCCTTGAGTGGAAGAGCAGTGAGTTTTCATCTCCTACAGGCATAAAAAGCAAGAGCACAGGTAAGTCCTGAAGAGCGGTTGACACTCCTCTACCTCAGTGGTAAAGGAGTGGTTCCCTCCTCTACCTCACAGTAACCACTGATGTGCCACTTCCAGGCAGTTGGAATGATTTCCTTTCAAATGGAGGAAATCTGGTGCCTCGGTCTGGTTCTTCACTTCTGGATGCTAAATAGGAATCAGACAGCAGATACAGTGGTGAAATGCACAACCGTTGTTTTTAGGTGATGAGGAGAAGAAAACTGACCCCAGCTCTGAATGTTTAAGGCAAAATATTCAGAGAACGAAGGTCTTGCTTCATCTGGTAACTTAGATCAAAGCAAGTTCTGAAGAGCTGAGTCGTCAGTGATCAGAAAATGCATATTCAGACTCAAACTACATTGTTTAACAAGCTTCATTTAAAAAAAAAAAAAATGAAATTCTCTTCCTTTTTGCTTTGGGTAAGACCTAAGAATCAAAAGGGGTAAATGGTGATCCGCAGTGGAGCATCAAATACATGACAGACTGCCTGGGCTGTGTCTCTTTTTTAGTAGTCATGCATTACGTGTAGCATTATTAGTGATTAAAACTTTCAAACAAGGCGTTTGATTTCTTTAGAGATGCTTACAGAGGAAACCTTCCTTAGCACAAGGAGCTAAATTTAGACCCACCAAGTGCCAGTTCTTCATATCTCCCTTAATAAAAGTGCAGAAGTCAGGCTGAAGGTAGAGCAGGTTGGCACCTCAGAGACTGAACTGATTCAGAGAGGAATTCATAAGCAATAGCCTGTTGAGTTCTTGCAGTTGAGCTGGCTGTCACCTATAAAAATTCATACCTCAAGTACCAGTCTCTGCGGTACCACCCTGCCTTACCTTCTGCTTAATAAGAGCAGCAATGAAGTAAATCATGTGTTAGCTCACTAGACCTGTTAGCATTTTAATCTCTTTCCTGGCTGAAAAAAATCCAAAAAGAGAGCGCAGAGGTATGTTCCAGTTCTGTAGACATCTACAAATTGCTGATTTAATAGCATGCCTATGATGTTTAGAGTTTTATCTAGTTCAGTCATTTGTAGAATCTACTTTTCTACTTGCAGATCCAAAACAGCTGTGAGTAGTCTCAGGATGGACACCGTTCCTATACATGAGGGGAAGACTCCCTGTAGCTAAAATCCTGTCCCATGTGAGGTCAAATAAATGCATAGCTCTGGAACAGATAGCCCTTAATAACTCGTTTCCAAGCAATGAGATGTAGCTTTCCCACAACAAACTAGTCACATCCTGAAAGCTGAGCTCATACTAAGAAGCAGATATCGAAGAGCCATTTTTACTCAGTTTTATGAGTAAGATTCTTCAAACTATTGTTTCACACTGGGTTTTTGTTTTGTTTCATCAGCAAAGCTGGAGAATCCACAATGGGACTTTTACGGAGCATGTGTTAAAAGGTCTTTGTACGCTCTCGGCTTTTAGAAAGCACGGAGTTCACTGAGCAGCTGAGGCTGGGATTGTGCATGCTTTATGGCAGAAGAACTGCAAGCTAAAGACCTACTCTCCGTCAGCCACACTAGGAACTTCACGAGGAATTTAACAGGCAAGACACACTGCCATCCTTTTTCTCCAGCAGTTTTAGGTTTACTATATCTGGATCTTTAGTCCAGCATTAGGCATTAGCAGGTAGTGTGGTCGTTACCAACTACATATTTAACACAGAAAAAGGGTTGTACAAACCCCTCCTTTGTCCAGACCTCACAGTTGCTTCAAACTGTAACAGGTTTCAAATACCTTTTAAATAGTAGAGAACAGGTAAGGAAGGGGCCACGTTACAGCTAGACTCTGCAAGGTCAACTGGGTTTGCTCCTCCTGTAGGGAAAGGAGAGGGACTACCTCTTGTTCAGGATTTTTTTTTTTTTTTTTTTAAACACTTCTCCCAAAAGGCTCAACTAGAAGCCTAGAAGTTGGCTCTAGGCTAGTGTGACTCAAGTATTGTTACATTATTGTTGGCTAGCCTAGAAATGACTCATGGAAACAAACAA